AGAAACTTTTACATTTTTTAGAAAATTTCTAGCAGTTCTATTTGTTTGTTTGTTTGTTTGTTTTTCAAATATTTCTGGGGTATTTTTAGAGTATTTTGTTGGTTGCTAATTTCCATAGTTCCATTTTTTATTTTGTTAAACATTTCATAGTTTATATTCTATATCTGATTATTCTACTACTGAAAGTTTTGGAGGATGTAAATCTCTATCTTTTCCTCTCTCTTTCCCTCCCTATCCCTTTTCTCATAACTCACGCTTCCTTATATTTTCAGTGATCTTTCTGAGCTTGTGCCTGGTTAATATTCATCTGTGGGAATCTTGAGTATCCAATGCCGGGAACGCTTTCCTCCAGAGTTGAGGGGGATTTCCTCTTCACAGGCCCTTGCTTTAAGGTGGGAATCCCACATCCAGGTGCTCACTGTGCTGCTGGCCTGAGATTCTGTCCCTGTCCACTGCCGTGCTGAGATTAGCATTGGCCCTTTGGCCAAACCCACTTTAATTGCTCTTATTTGCCACTTACTTTTGGCTGTTCAAGTTTCAGCTCACTTTTTGTCCTATACTTCAATTTCAAAAGTGAATTTGCGGCTTAGGAAAAACCTTCTCCTTGTTCATTGATGAATGAGACTGTTTGGCTGTCACAAGCCTCCTTTGCCACAACAAAAATTCCGCTCCAGCAGTGCTCTCATATGCTGCCGTAACTGATCAAAGTATGACATTTTATTTGACACACGTGGTTTTGCAGACCTAGGTCATCATAAAGAGTCATGACCTGTCTGAAGTTGAAAGTTCAAAGAGAGTTGTGATCTGATGTCAATATCACTTCATTGATGCTGATTAAAGTCTCCTTTGAGAGAAAAAGGAGAAAAAACAAACAAACGGCAGGGGAAAATGAGAACACCTAGTGGGCTGGAATGGGCCTGGTTTTTCTATTCTGTCTACAGCAGATACAGGCAGTGTCCCCAGTAGCCCTGGGGAGGCCGCCTTGAGTGTCTCACTACTTCTTGGATCCTCACTTTCCCCTTGGTGCCCGGGCATCACCTCTGTCTATTCTTTGTCCCCCCAGGAGGGTGCAGGAGAGTAGAGGAGTCCGGCCCTTCCAGGCCATGCCCCAGCAGAGTCAACACGCCTCACCTTTGCATAGTGTTCTAATATCTGTGAGGCACAAGGCCTGCTCACCCCAGAGGCCAACTCTGCCCACCCTGGGAAAGCAGCCGTGCCGCAGGTCAAGGACTGTCTCAAAACCAGTTAGGACAGCTTCTCAGCATCATCTCGAGCTCCAGCCCTGGAAATCTCAGGCTTTGCAATAGCAAAACACAAATCTGTTCACTTACTCCTCCCAAGACAATTACTGGGAAAAAATATTAAAGGCTTCTGTGAACAGCCTGAGGCCAGTTGACCTTGAAGGCGGAAGGCGACAAACCAGACAGGAGCCGGGAGCCCTGCCTGTGTGCACGCCTGCTCTGGGTGTCTGTGGAGCCATAAGCCTGGCTGGGTGTGCTGATGCCACCACCAGGGCAAAGCTCTCAGTAACAGGACACAGCCAGGAGGAGGAGCAAGGCTTCCAAATCAGTTTGTCTCCTATGTGAAATTAAAAATAGCCCTGGTCCAGGATCTGCCTGCAGCCAGCGGATACTTCACAGTTGCTGGTGGTTAATGTCACGAGCCTTCTGGTCTTTGCCACCTACAGATGCTGGGCCTGTGGGTTTCCTTTCCCTGCTCTTGTTTCTTGCCACCTGCCACGGGGGCTACTCAGGCTGCGTGTCCATGGTCAGTCCCTGTACCTTCCAGTTACCTGTTGCCGGGAGCTGGCCGGGACTGCTTGGTGGAGCACAGGAAGAGAGGGGATCGCCTGCAGAACCTGGCCTCTTGAGGAGCCTCAAGGAAGTGGGGCCTTTGCAGAAACTCCTGGTTCAAAAGCAAAGAGCACTCTCTGTTTCCTCTGGGTTGCTCTCTGTTTCCTCCTGGTACCAGCTCTCTTTTTATACTGCTTTTATTGTGAAATATAAAACACAGAAGAGTGCATAACTAAATAGGTACAACTTAATGAATGATTATCAAGCAAACACAACCCAGTCAAGAAATGAAATGCACCCGGCATTGCCGGAGCCCCTCCGCCCTCACGCACTCACACCCGTCTGCCTGGCTGGCCTCCTGGGAGGCACCACCTCCTGAACTCTTGTGTTCATCACGCCCTTGCTTTTTTTGTTGTTATTTTTCATGTGTTTGTTTTTTTAGTTTTACCACCTAGGTGTACCTCACTAAATAAAACAGGTGGCTTTTGTCTGTTTGGGGACTTTGTGTATATGGAAGCATGAAGTGTGTTTTATGTTTGTGAGACTTATCTGTGCTTTGTATAGCTACCATTTGCTCATTTTCTTGCTTTATAATATTGTATTGTGTGAATTCCTACAATTTACTTGCTCTGTGGTCAGTGAACACTTAGGTTATGTGCAGTTTTTGATAAGCACAGATGAAGCTGCTGTAAGTAGCCCTGTAGTGTATGGTGCACACATTTCGTACACCTAGGGGTGGAACTGCTCATTCACGAGGGCTGTGAATGAATAGGTTCAGTTTCAGGAGACCGTCCCAAATTGTTTTCCAAAGTGGGTAAGCCATTTATGTTCCCACAAACAACGTAGGAGGGGCCTTGCTGCTCCCCACTCTCAGTAGCACTTAGAACGATCTTTCTAACTTCCACCAGTCTGAAGAGCGTGGAATGGTACTTTCCTGTGGTCTTCATTCGTATTTGCCAGATGCCTAATGAGGTTGATGGCATCATCTCTCAGGGCAGTCTGTGCTTGTCTGTCTCAGTTTTTAACAAGAAAATGTCAATCAAGACATAGGGCAAGATGGAGTACAGCAGATTGGACGTGGATTCAGAAACCAGAGTTCAGATCCCATTTGTTACTACTATCTTTTTTTTGTAAATATGGAGTCTCACTCTGTTGCCCAGGCTGGAGTGCCATGGTGCAGTCTTGGCTCACTGCAGCTTTGACCTCCTGGGCTCAAGTAATCCTCCTGCCTTGGCCTCCCAAAGTGCTAGGATTACAGGTGTGTGCCACTGCACCTGGTTCAGATCCCATGTATTATCTCCATGACCTTGAGGTCACAGACGTAAAAGATTAAATGATAGGAAATACTTTGGAGTGGCATATTGTCACCATTCTTTCAAGGCCAACTTTTATAGGTATATGCATCCACTCTTACTGCTGTGGTATTTGGATAGCTCTTTACACCTTCAAACTATAAGCCATGGATGTGTATCGAATAAACATAAATAGTCTCGCTTTATAAGATACTCTCCCTATAAAGCAGACTCAGTTCTCTCTTTATATAAAAAGATGACAGTATGGTTTTTTGTTTGTTGTGTTGTGTTGTGTTGTTTTTAACCATCACTAACTGCTGGCTGTAATCAGCCATGTGGCTGTGAAAAGGGAGCTCACACCTCGGGTGCTGACGACTTGGTTGTTGGGAGGAAGAGGCTGTTCTCACAGTAAGAAGGTTTCAGCACAGCCACCTGCTGAGACCACAGAGAACCTGGATGTGTGTCCTGCACCCTGGCCAGCTGCCCTGAGCTGTGGGGCGCTGTGCACAGCCAAGCACCGCTAGAAAAGACACTTATTCTGAAATTCACTCCTCCCATGCCGTCGTTCAGCTTTCAAGCCTTGGGTTAGCTTTTTGAGATGAGTCTCCATGGCAAGGGACAGGAAAGCGTGGCCATGTCCAGTTCTGAAGGCCATCTCAACTCTCCCTGTGGCCATGTATCTGACCTCTTGCAACCAGGAGGAGGCATCAGAAATTTCCCCAGTACCCAGATGTCCCAAGGCAGCTGGGCACCCTTGAACTCTGCCCCAAGTACAGTGCATTTGGGCATGCGGCTTAACAATTTTGGACCTCAGCTTCCTCATTTTAGAAAATGCAGAGGCCAAAGGGGCTTCCTAGGCCTTCATGACTCACCCTCAGAACCTAGGATCTCATGATCCAAAGGGCTGCAGCTGTGGAGAGGGGAGAATGGGACTGTGGGTGTCACTACGAAGCTAAACTGGGGGATTCGCACCCATTTCACGCCTTTTCAGCCTCCACCGGGACCTCGAACTCCCCAAGTCCTACAGGTCTTCCAGGGGATCTCTCACCTCCCCGTGAGTCCCTCGCGTCGCATACACTGCAGTGGGAGTGTTGCTCCCTGCCTGGCATCAGACTCCCGTGTCTCTGTTCACCAGGACCCAGGGCAGGGGGTGGTACTGAGGGTCGCCCAGCATGACTATGAAGACAGAGCCTTGGCTGCTCAGCACGGCCAGCACAGCTCTGGTTTCAGCTCTGTCTCTTCACCCCACAGTGGATGTCATTTTCTTCTACTGGGGGTGTTACCCAACAATATCATCCTTTGAAAGTGTTTGAAGTCCAGCCCTGCCTCCCTTTCCTGCAGTGGGAGTGTGGGAGGGAGTGAGGAAGGCCCAGGGGATGGAAGCTTCCATATCCTTCCATCTCTGGTCCAGAAGATGGCTGGTTAAAATGCCCACCAAACACCCCCGCCCACACCCCAAGCCGGGTAGTGGAGCTGTCCATCTTGGATCTGACCCAAATGCAGGCCCTGGTGAAGAAAGATGAGTCCATTGGGCTCCACAGTAATCAGGGCCCATGGAGCGCCCGTGCTCATTGCCCTGAGCAGCATCACTGCTATCAAGCACCAGGCTCTCCTGACCACTGCCCAGAGCTCCTGGGCCCTGCTAGAGCTTAGCCATGGTCCATTCATCACCAACCTGCTAACATTTCCTTGTTGCAAGCTCGCCCACTGGCATCATCCCTGAGTGGTAAACGGGGCCTTCCTGGGTTGGGCAAAGCCCTTGACCTGGAGGCTCCAGACTCTGCCCTCCGGCTGCCTTGCCGGGTGACAGGCCCCAGGGAGCGGCTGCTGACCACTCAGGTCAGGGTGCTTCCTCCCAGGTCCCACCTGGGGACTGGCAGGCCTGGGGATGATGCAGCTCCATCCTCTCTTCTAGGATCCGAGCCAGAGACAACAACGGCTCCTACGCCCTGTGCCTGCTGCATGAAGGGAAGGTGCTGCACTATCGCATTGACAAAGACAAGACAGGGAAGCTCTCCATCCCCGAGGGAAAGAAGTTCGACACACTCTGGCAGGTACCCGGTCTCCTCTCCCCACCTTGTGGGTAGAGTACAGGGCACGTGGGGCTTCTTGTCCCATGGACTCTGAGACACAAGAGGAACCGAACCACCCACTCCCCACGGTGTGGTCCCCAGGCCAGCAGCAGCCCTGGAGCTCATGAGAAACGCACACCTGGATCCACACCTGGGCCCCTGCCCCACACCTGGGCCCCTGTCCCACCTGCCCATCAGACCCCACTTTCAGCCTCCAGGTGGCTTCTGTGTTTGAAAAGCACTGGTCCAGAGGCTGTCATGTGAGGTGAGCGAAGGTTCCATGGCTTGTTCAGGGCCACTCAGTCGTCGGTGCCACAAGGTGATGTACGTGCAGGTCTGTGTTCAGAGTTTAACAAGACATCGTCTTTTGGAGAGCTAGAAAATATTTATTCCTAGGATATTCTAACTACAGCCTAAAACAGCCTTTCAGACAAAGACACACAAAATAGAGGAATGGATGCCCAGGGAAGGAGGCCTGGGAAGAGCTAAGCAGGCCTTTGTTGGTGGTGTGAGAGGCTGAATTAGACAGCAAATGTCAGGTGTCCTCCTCATTGTAAATCGAGTCTCCCTCTGTGGAAACTAAGGCGGTGTAGGAAGCACATCCTAAATTTAGAAAGCATACTCCCCGGGCTCCAGGCTGCTACTCATACTGATTGCCACAGCCCTGGTCTAAAAAGTGCATATTCCTGACCCAGCTACTAGCAAACCCTGAAACAACTCACAATTTGGAAGTTCCTTAGGCACTAATAAGCACTAAAATAATGCTCGGCGCTGCTTTCCCTGAATCGCAGTGAGCACAGATTGCTTGTCTTAATTTTGCATCACAGCTACACTGGCTGATAATGAAGGAAATAAAAGTAACAGTACTTCACACATCATCTTAGCAGAGCATCCTGTAAACTGTAGTAGGTTCAGAGACACAGAGAAAGCCAACTGACTGCCACTACCCCACCACCCCAGAGCACCAGCTACCTCGAACATGTATGGGTGAGGGGCATAATCAAGGCACATTCGGATGTCCTCACCCAAGCCCAGCTGGGGCCACACATGCAGTCAATATTGAGGAAAGGACTCAACTCAAAATCCTGTCTTTTCAAAAACTGAGACTACAGAGCCTTAGCCCCTTTAAAGCACTTAAAGTTACTACTTCCAAATGTGATTTGGTTTCTAGTGCTGTAATTGGGGAAAAAAAATACTCCTTTTTTGAATGTGAATATGATCATATTAAAAAATGTTAGTCACAACATTTACATTGTCTTTTGATTTTGTGGCTCATTGCCATGTCTCACCACAGGCTTCTTTCTTTTAACGCTATTGATTCGAAACAGTATTTAACCTTTCTACCCTCAATGCCCCAAAGCGTATCAGGGAGGTGAGCAGGGAATGTGGCCTTCTGGAATGCAAGGACACCTGGAGTCCTCTATGCCAGCTTAATGCTCCAAGGTCCCAGGCCCCATCACTTATAAACAGCCATTCATTCACCTTCTCCGGAAAGGGCATCTTGTGTGTGTGGCGTTCTCTCACAGTTTCAAAGGCTGAGCGCTCACCATGGTGTTAAGCATCTCTAATTATGGAGAATGTCCTTCCCAAGACTCTTTACTGTTTTTATTGATTCCCCTGGTAGATCATAGCATTCATCTCTAATTATATATTCCTCATTGTATATTTTCTAGGGACTGTGTTTAGGAAACTACCTCAAAAATGCCAGCAATACATTCCAATTTCCCATGCATGATTTCATTGATTTTTCTTGACAGCATTGTAAGGTACTTCTGTACCCTACCCCAACTGCAGGGCCCCAGTGCCATTTCACAGAGAATTGGTGATTGCTATACTACCCTATTTCAATATTCTTTACTGTAGACCAGGGATCTGCAAACCCATAGACCAAATCTGGCTCTCAGCTTGTTTCTGTGTAGTCCTTGAAGAGAATGGTTTTTATGCTTTTAAAGATGTTGTTTTGGATAAATAAATAAGTAAACAAAGGACACAGATATGGTATGAGGCCCACAAAAACCAAAAATACCACTTTCTGTTTACAAAAAAAATTTGCTGCCCCTAGCCCAAGAGGGAGGATGCCTAGCTGTGGGCCCACTTCCCCAGCCACCCTTGTGGAGTGGACTTACGCACATCAAAGCATTTACGCGTCTTGGGGCCACTTTGAAAGCCCAACAGTCAGTCAGCAGCTCTCAGTCACTATTTCTCTGTTTCCTGACCTTGTTATTTACCACACTTTCTTACTTTTTTCTCTTTCAGCTCGTCGAGCATTATTCTTATAAAGCAGATGGTTTGTTAAGAGTTCTTACTGTCCCGTGTCAAAAAATCGGCACACAGGGTGAGTTCCCGAGACACCGGAGTCTCACTGTTTGAGGTATCAGTGACAATCAGCCTCGTTTTCGACTTAGCTGATTGCAGTTTCGGGTTGGATGAGGACTTCTTACGGATTGATTAATAACGTTATCAAAGCACTCCAATTTTGTAGATCATGAATCAAAAAATAGCTGGTTGCTTTAACTTTTAAAAAAATTGTAATTATTTGTCTTAATTGCATGCGGGAAAAAGTAAAAGAGGGTCAGAAGTACCTGCAGAAAACGTGCTCACTTCTTAAGCAGCAGCACATCCTGATCTCATTGACCGACCTGCAGGGGGTGGGGGGAAAGGAAGTGGTTTCCACAGATAGAGTAGTAATGGTCCATATTCTCTCAACCAGGAAATGTTAATTTTGGAGGTCGTCCACAACTTCCAGGTTCCCATCCTGCGGTAAGTGTCACTAGGAATACCACTGAATGAGAAGCTGTTGCATATTTCACAAATGAAAAGCATGTTTTAGCTAACAGGAGTGGTGGTCACTGATATTTTGATTGCCCTTCAAAGCATTTTCCTTGATGAGCTGGAATTTCTAGTGAGTGTTAGGCACAATCAGCCTACTGTTAGTGATAAACTAGCCACATTTTCTTTTCTTTCTTTCTTTTCTTTTTTTTTTTTTTTTGGAGGCAGAGTCTTACTCTGTCACCCTGACTGGAGTGCAGTGGTGCAATCACGGCTCACTGCAACCTCTGCCTTCTGGGTTCACGCCATTCTCATGCCCTAGCCTCCCGAGTAGCTGGGATTACAGGTGCCTGCCACACCTGGCTACTTTTTGTATTTTTTAGTAGAGATGGGTTTTGCCATGTTGGTCAGGCTGTTCACAAATTCCTGGCCTCAAGTTATTCTCCTACTTCAACCTCCCAAAGTGCTGGGATTACACGCATGAGCCACCACACCCTGCCTAGTCACATTTTCTTAACTTCTTGTCTAGGTGAAATTCTCTTCATTTTTGGAGAATATACACAATGCGAATGAAACCCAATATTAAATCAGAAGTAGGCCTCTTGCAATATTTGAGAAATGGGAACATATTTTTTAACTTCATCCTTGAACTGTCTATGTTAACACACGTATAATCCACAGGACCCCAGCTCTCTCCTCCCTCCAGCCTGTTAGGAGGTCAGGTACAGATTTATGCTCTAAGCAGGAATTCTTTTCCTGATCTTTTCTTGGGGACTTCATATGGACTTTTTTCTTTCTTTCTTTCTTTTTTTTTTTTTTTTT